TATGGAACATTATTATTTATGTGTTTATGATGCTGCTTTGTTGCCTTTTTAAAAAGGTCATTCTAGGAGGGGGGGGGGGGGGCCTCAGTGAGTGGTCAAAATAATTTATCCTGCGGCCAAACACAAACACACACACACACACACACACACACACACGCTCTGAAATACCGACAAATAAACATGCATACTGACAATGGTGTGATCAATGGATATGTGACACTAACAAACACACAATCACTGTGACGCTCAGCAGCCTCGAGGACACGCAGTCCTATGGTGTTCATTGTCTCACACACACACACACACACACACACACACACACATAGCTGTGGTGCGATGGCAGGTTGCTTCAGGCCTCGGGCTGAATCCAGAAATAAAGACAATAGAATAAACAGGAGGGGAAAACACTGTGTGTGTTTGTCACCTCGGGGCTGCCAAGCACAGAATATCTGTAGGACAGAATGACACACCAGAGCCATGTGTGTGTACACCACAACAATAAATAATAGTTAGGAGCGAAGCTGTGGTTTAATGAGGGAACAGGCCCGTCGGTGGGCAGCCAGCTGCATTCATTTCAGCCCAACAGGAACATTTTTTCTCATTTAAATATGCAAATACACACATTCATTACATTAATGGGACAGTAAAGAATGAACAGGACAGGCTGTCGGAGTCAGGTTTTTAAACACGTGTTCACATTTTATGCGTTTCACACGTGCAGTGATTCCTGCTTTTGTTTGTCAGGATGGTATTTTATTAAATGCGACTCCGTTCAGCTCTCTCACTGGATGAGATCTGGGATCAGCTGATTAGTGTTGACAGTTGCTACAACTAAAATAAAGAGATGAAGATGTTGACTGAACGGATCCGACACACGGAGCTGTTAAGTTGATGAGCTTGAAATATTTATTGGATCTGCATGAAAGTTTAACTCGGAGGTTCCTGAAGTCGATGTGACGCGACGGACTGGATCGGTTTAAGACGTTCTTGTTCAGCTACAGAAGAACCACACGGTCCGCTGAGGCGCGTCCAGCTTTTGTTTGTTCTGGTGAGTGGCAGCGCAGCGACGGTGCACGGAGGTGTTCGTGTTCAACACGCTGTGAGTCGGGTTTATTCTCCGAAACACCAGAGGACGAACAAACGAAATGAACTGTGAAGAGTCAGGAAGACAACCAGTGTAACGCCATAAACCAACCTCCACAACGAAGAGGAGGAACTGTTATTATCTGTGAACTCATATCTCATATTCATGGAGACTTTGTTACCTTCATACAAACCCTGTAAACAAGTCAAGTATTAAATGCATTATAAAGAAACAAAGGTTGAATATAAACCATTTGATTTGGCTGTTGACAGGTATGTTAGTAGTGTTTTTATCAGTGAACTATTCGTGACGGTGATGTCTGAAAAACTCTAATAGGATACAAAAATAAGATGATTTAGAGTTGCACGACCAAGCGGCGCTGCAGAGCCTTCGTGCACGATGCGAGTACAGACTATACTTCACAGAGTGGGACCTCTTTCTCCAACAAATCATCTTTGTCGAGTACAGACTTGCAGAAAGCATGAACCAGAAATAAAGTATCTTTGAGGTTTAAACTACTTGGTTGGGTTCAGGAAGAGATCGTGGTTTGGGTAATAAGTACTTTTCATGTGTAAAATAACTGCGTTTGTTACATAACTGGCGTCAGTAAAGTACGTGAGCTGCATAAAAAAAACTACGGTACAAGAAGTTAGCGTTGACTTTGTTTCAGGCAGGACTTGAACAGCGGTCTCCTTGGTGAAAGTCCTGTGTTTCAGACGCTGAAAGGTGCCTCGATGTGTCGGCTTTTAAATGCTTTGTTACATTTTACTCTATTAATATAAATGTTTGTTTGTCTCATTGTTTTCAGTTCAAATCAAGCAATTTAAAACACACACACACACACACACAGTTTAACTGAGGAGCAAACTAGAACGCACTGCCTGAAGTCCTACACACACGCGCGCGCGCGCACACACACACACACACACACACACACACACACACACACACACACAC